GACAACACTGTCATGGGCAAAATTGCCAAACTAGTCACCAACATTCAGGTAGATTATTTAAATAGCGTTTTAGTTGTGACTAAAATCTTTTGTAGGCAAATCAAAGCCCGATTGGGATTGAAATTCACCGGTTTGTAGTGATTGTCGCCATCTTGGCAATATCAGACGGCATCATCTTCTTTGTCGTCTGCATGGGGCTTAAGATTAACTTTCAAACTTCATTCATTAACATGATTGGCATTGTTGTCGGTAAGGACTTTTTGCTAAAAACATTAGATTTCAGTTACTCATTCAATACTGCAACTTTAGGCAATATTCCCGAGGGATTGCTGCCGGCGCTGACGTTGGCTTTGACCTTGACAGCAAAAGTAAAAAATCATTTTTTTCAATCTCTGACATGTAATTACCTAACATAATCTTCAGATTATGGCCAAGAAGAACTGCATGATCAAGTACCTGGAGGCGGTGGAGACGCTGGGCTCCACTTCGACGATCTGCAGCGACAAGACGGGCACACTGACGGAGAATCGAATGACCGTGGAGCACGTCTACCTGGCGGCCAAAATCTTCAGAGTGTCACATGACGCGGAAGAAGTGAAGGAAGACATGAAGGCGGTGGTTCCCAGCTGGAACGCATATCAAAGGTAGGGAAAAGGGTTGATCAGGTGTTCATTTTGAAACTGCTCTAAAACTCGTACAACTGTGCAACAGGTGTGCCAAACTGTGCTCACGTGCCGTCTTCACCGACACCTCCAATCCGGACATTCTGAAGCGAGACTGTAGTGGTGACGCCTCTGAGACGGCCATTCTTCGCTTCATGGAGTCAGTGTCGCCGGTGGTGACCGAGTACCGAGAGCAGTACCGCAAACTGGCGGAAAAGCCCTTCAGTTCAGTGTACAAGTACCAGTACTCGGTGCACTTCAACGCTGACAAGGCGACGGAAAGTGATGCAAACTTTATTGTCGTCATGAAGGGCGCTCCTGAGCGAGTCGTGCAAGTTTGCAGTACCATACTTGATGGTAAGGAGAGCAATGTTCCTCAAATCATCATCTTTTCATCTTTTAATCAATTTTTTAAAGGCAATGGAAACACTGTTCCGTTTACTGAAAAAGAGATGAAAGAATTTGAGGAGGCCTATCGTGAACTGGGCTCAATGGGTGAACGAGTGCTCGCCTTCTGTGACATGGAACTGCACGGTTTTGCTCCTGATCACAAGTTTGACCTTGACAATGGGTCTGACTTTGCAATTGAGGGACTTCGTTTTCTGGGCCTCGTTGCTTTGATTGACCCACCACGCGCGTCAGTGCCTGGTGCCATTGAGCGCTGTAAGGTGGCTGGGATTCAAGTAATCATGGTCACTGGAGACCATCCAATCACTGCTCAGGTAGAGTCATTGATTTTTGTGGGTAAAAAGAGAGTTAATGACTTTACTTGCAGGCAATCGCCAAGTCAATCGGCATCATCTCAGCCTCTCACCGACGATCGACGCAAATTTCACTGCCGAAAATCAGCCGAAAGGTCAGCAGGGCGATCAACTCTGCCTCGATTGTCGTTCCCGGTGACGAGTTGGCTACACTGACCGACGAACAGGTGAGGGACATTCTGCGCGACTTTAATGAGATCGTCTTTGCGCGCACCTCACCGCAGCAGAAGCTGCGCATTGTGGAGAACTGTCAGCTGCTGGATCGAATCGTGGCCGTCACCGGCGACGGCGTCAACGACTCACCGGCGCTGAAGAAGGCAGACATTGGCATTGGCATGGGCATCACCGGCTCGGATGTGTCGAAGCAGGCGGCGGACATGATCTTAATGGACGACAACTTTTCGTCAATTGTCGTTGGAGTTGAGGAAGGTCGCAAGATTTTTGATAATCTCAAAAAGACTATCTCCTATATCATGGCCGGTAACAGCTCAACACTTTACCCATTTATTGTATTTCTAACTTTAGGTATTGTGGTTATTATTACCTACGTGCATGACTAAGGAAGTTTTTTTTTATTTTAGGCTTTCCCCTTGCCATTACACCGATCAAGGCAAGTTAGCTTTATTTTGCTTTATCATCTGTTGTTATATTTTTCAACTTTTTTTCAGATTCGTAAGTGATTGAAAAGACGATTAGAGCAATTTTTGTCAACTCTATTTTCTGCAGTGTGCATTGCTATTGGAACAGATTTGGTGCCCGCTGTTTCTCTGGCCTACGAGCCGGCAGAGTCGGACATTATGAAGTTGCCGCCTCGAAATCCAAAGAAAGACTTTCTCGTCACTCGGAATGTGCTCTTGTGGTCATTCTTACAGGTCAGTCTAAATTACTTGCACTTTTATAGTTTTAAAATTTTTTCTTTTTTATCAGGCAGGAATCATCATTGGCCTATCAGGGTATCTCGGTTATTTTGTAACGATGGCTCAGTGGGTAAGTGCAAAGTTGTAGCGTAGTTTGACTGTATTGATGATTATCTGTTTTTGAAGGGGTGGATGCCACAACAGCTGTGGCAATTGAGAGCAGGTTGGGATCGTGACATTGAAATGACCGACTGGTACGGTCAAGAATGGGTGAGCTCATTTGCAGCAAGTTTTTTGTATACAAAAATTATGTCAATTTTCATCATCAGACACTGCCTCAAAGGCAAGAAGTTTTGGCCAAAGGTCAAACTGCTTACTTCATGTCAGTGGTGGTCGCCCAATGGATGGATGTGTGCGTCAACAAAACTAGACGCACTTCACTGTTCACACATGGATTTGGGTGAGCTCATTCAAAGCGATGATTTGTTACTTATCACCTGACTTACTTTTCAAATAGCAACCACTTCTTGACATTCTCCATTTTTCTTGAAACCGGCGTCGCCTGCCTGGTCGTCTACTGTCCGGGGCTGAATGAGGTGCTCACCTTCTCGCCAGTGAGCGGCTGGGCCTGGTGCACTGGAGTGCCATTCTTCTGCTATCTGCTCGTCTACGAGGAGCTACGTAAGCTGATTGTTCGACGGTTCCCAATGTCGTACATTGGGACTGAGCTGGCTCGATAGAGTCAGAAATGTGTCAGACAGAACAGAACAAAACAGACTGCTCTCTTTGTGCTTTGGTGAACTAGTAAATTAGCAAATTGACAACTTTTTGGGGGAGAAGACAAGACAAAAGAGCACAACTGTTCTCCGCACTATAATCTGCAATCCTTTACTAAACGGGTGCTTTTGTAGAGAGAGAAAAAGAATAGACAAAAAGGCTTTTTATTAAACAGTAGTGCCATCCAAAAGTGACAACAGCAGTGACGACATTGGAACGCTTAATCTACATCTAAATATTAATCACCAGGCAATGTGCCATTATTATAGCAAACAGCGTCACTAGAAAGAAGGAGGCGTTCGTTACGGTGGCACTTGAATGAGTGCGCAAAACTGAGGCCGAGGATAAGCGGTGAGTTGTGTTGTACTCGAGGACCGATGGCGGAGTGGAATCGGCACTCTCAGTGGAAGTTTCCAGGCTTTCTGCTGAGCTGATAGGCTTGTTGGTTAGGGTTACTGCATCAGCGATGGAAGTGGGCGTCACTTCAATTGACAGCGGTGTAGTGGTCATTTCTGCAATGGTAAGTTCAGTTGAGCCGGTTTCACCTGTGTTTGGGGCCATTTCATCGGTAGTTTCAGCAAGGTCATTGGCGATCAATGATTCATGTGAAGTTTCGATGCTTGCGGTTACCGGTACATTGACAGTGGCTTCAGTTGGCAGGGAGTTTGCTTCTTCAGATCTGACAGTGGTAATGTCTGACTGAGTGATTGACACAGAGTGGCCTTCATCAGGCACCTGTTCACTCTGCTCACTGGCATCCTGTCCGTCGGTGGATCGTTGTGAGAGCAGTGATTCACTTTGGCCAGTCAGCTCTTCTGTGTCTTCTACCGCTGTTGCCTCTTTCACTTCCGCTTGAGTGCCGTTTTCCACCGATGGCGCAGCGTCTGTTTTGCATTCAGCCGAAAATGGAGTTGTTGTTTCTGCTGGAGCTGGTGGCTGCTCAGTACCGGTGGCTGGGTTTTCTCCATTTGAAACAGAGTTTGCTAAAGTTAATTGTGAAGTTAATTCAGTTTGAGCTTCAATAGAAAAGCCTTCTTTTTGATCGTTAATGTTTGCGTTTGAGACAGAAGAATCAAGAACAGATGCAGGTTTAGTTGGTGTTAATTGCTCATCAGCATAGGAACTAGCTAGAGACTTTTCGGTGAAGACTGGTTCAATTGCAAACAGTAGCTCCTGCTGCTTCTCAGTTGTTAGAATCAAACTAGGATCAGTTGGAGCAAATGATTCAAAGGTTTGGGTTGTCGACTGTTCAGCATTTTCTAAATCATTTTGGTTTGAGGAAGAAAAATTCGAAACTGAATCAACAATCGAAAAATTAGAAGAAGCATGGAAGGACGGAATTGTGGTCATTGGATGAACTTCAGAGTCGCTAGAAGACTGGGAAAAGTCAGTTTGATTGGCAGCCTCATGTTCACTTTTATTGGCAGGCGAATCAAAAACTGAACCGGTAGTAGATGCTGAAATGTTTAAAAAAATTTGGCCATTATCAAAATGGGGGAAACTAACAATTGTAGTTTGCTCTGGTTCATCCAAAAATACTGGGAAAGCAGAAGAATATCCAAAAAGGAAAAAAATGACAAAAAACAGTTTAAAATGAATCATTATGGTTGATTGTAAGTTGACAGCAGTGAACAGACAATGACGAATAAAGGATAATGTGAATCACCCAGACAGTGATATTCAAATGAATAAAAAGTGCAGCACTGGCTGCGACTGATATACGCCGATCAACTGCTGATAAATTGTTTGAACAAACAGTGCACTGTTTGGCAAAATGATGCCAGTACAAACGAGACAGACACTATCAAGTCGTGCTAATTTATGTTTTTTCCATACACTTTCTAAAATCAGTAAAAAGTAAAGCAATCAAGAGTGACAACTGTTCATCGTTGATCGACAGATGACATGATTATTGATTTATTTAAGGAAAAAACAAACATTGTGAAACATACAATTGGGAACTCAGTTTGATGTTGTTCACAAGAAAAAATCGGCAAAAGTTTAAAGAAAATTAGAGGCAACATCAAAAACGCTATTTAGTGCAAACTATTAAGATTCGTTAGTTTGATAGTGCAAATTGTGAGAACATAAAAGGATTGCAAAAAAAAGTTATGCTTATCAATGATAACTAAACAAAAAACAGTCAAACAAAATTTCCCATTTACGTCAAATATTGAGATTTAATGATTTTGCAAAAAAGTTAAAGAAAAAAGTTACATTTGATACTAAATCAGTAGATAGTAAGTTTTTGTAATAGTTAATAATGAATTATTTTATCAAATGTAACTTGTTGCAAATGACTGCAAGTGGAAATATATCATCAAAGTTTTATTAAATCTGGATTATTGATTAATATACAAATAATTTAATAATTTAAGTTGTAAATAGTACTCATAATTATTTATCAATTATTAATTTACATGTTCAAAAACAAAACTAAAAATGAGAAAAATGTTGTTATGACTGAAGCAATTAAGTTTGTGCTTTTGCCTTTTGCAGTTGTTGTAATTATTTCATTTGAAGTTGTTGAAATAATTTCATTTGATGTTGTTGATAAAGTTGAAACCGTTGTACCTTCTTGTTTTTTAGTTGGAGAAACAGTTGTGGTTTTTGTTGGCTCGAACGGTATTATTGGTTTTCGAGTAGTAGTTGTTGGTTTTACTGGAGCCGCCGTCGGAGCTGCTGTTGAGGCCGCNGGGTCTGGAGTGGGAGCTGGCGTTGAAGATGGATTTGGGTCTGGAGTGGGAGCTGGCGTCGGAGTTGGCGTCGAAGATAGATTTGGATCTGGAGTGGGAGTTGGCGTCGGAGTTGGCGTCGAAGATAGATTTGGGTCTGGAGTAGGAGCTGGCGTCGAAGATGGATTTGGATCTGGAGTGGGAGCTGGCGTTG